CTCTCTCTCTCTCTCTCTCTCTCTCAATTTTCCTCTTGGAAAATTAAGGGCTTCAAAACCCAATTTTTATTATTTTACTTCTCATCAAGATTGGAATTTTCGGTTTATTACTTCTCGTTGATGCTACTAGAGACTTAGTTTAAGATTCAATATCTGGTAAATTACTTCGACTTAATTTTGAGATATGAGTAAAGTTTGAAAATTGCATGAGTAGAGTATATTGTCATCCTCAAAGGATATGAATTATGTGATTTTGTAGTCGATCACATGCGAATTGAGTGATGTTTCAGATTGGTTGATCGAGGAGTGACGATTGTTTGATTGCATATTTTTTAGAACCTTTGAGTGTCTCTTTTCCATTCCGAGCTTTGGATTCCTAGTCCTTCCTTTTTATTCTCATTTTTATTGCAAATTTAGGATTTACTTGCACTTGATTTTGCTCTTGCGTTCATTCAAATTTTAAATCACGTTCACATTAGCATAAACAAACAATCAACTTGTGATTAGAGTATCTAGGACTTTATATCATTCTGTGTGAATGAGTCATTACTTGAATTTGATTCCGTGTAGTCTTCCTTTGAGAGTCGACCCGAGGTTGGTCTTCACGATCGTACTCGGTAAAAACATTACAAAACAACTACCTAAACATAAAACACTCATGGGAGAATGTTCACATGGATAAATTTAGAAATTATTATAAATCAGTGTTCTAGAAGTCTCTAGGCGCTCGATCAACGCCTAGCACCTTGAGCTCCTAGGTGGGGCTTAAGCGGCACCTAGAAATTAAGATTAAGTACCTTATTTTTATTTATTTTTACTACTTATAAAATGTAATTATCTCAACTTTATAATAAATTCGCACACCTAAGTCCAAATAATAATATTAATATATTATAAAGAAAACATGATATCAAAATAACGTGACTATTATATAAAAAAATTATCGCCGAACCCGTCTAAAAGCGCCTAAGTCTGCTTAGGCTCACCTACACGCTGCCCAACCGCTAGGCGCCGATCTAGTCTAGGCGTTGTCTAGCCACTGCCGATTTTTTTTTCTGCCGATTCATGCAAATTGGATGTGACCGGATGACGCGTAACGCTTAGGCGGCCGATTTTTAGTAGTCATAAAAATTAAGAGAAACAATCGAGCACATAGATAAGTTAAGGACATGTTGACAATTTTATTTTGTGATTCGAATTGAAATAAAAAAGTTTGATTAATTTTGTAGTTTTTATAAATGTAGCGATTTTTTTCTGCAATTGAATAGTGTCACGTTGGCAAATTTTGTTTAGTGATCACTATTTCGAGTAGCCTTTAAATTTATAAACAAAATCACTATTTTTATATTCAGGTTTATACTTTCTTTTAAATATTTCGAGTAGCCTTTAATTTTACTTGATCTTTGAAGGCGACTGATTCCAATAATTTTGATCAAACAGATAAAACAAGAAATTAAAATATCACAATAGTTATTATAATATAAATGACTAAATCATTTGACAAAAACAATTAATACATATCCAAACGTTTAAACAGGATTTTTAATATATTAAAAGTAAATTAGATTATAAAAAGGTATGAAAAAAAAAGAAAAATAAAATATTAGCCAATTCAGTTGGTTTGTTGACCAATTTTTGGTTCGATATGAATCGTTGTTGACCGGTTCTTAGCCGATTCCTTTTACCGAGTTATTTTGAACCTCTTCGGACCGATTATGTCTAACAGGCTGCTTCAATTCTCATGGCCATGAAGAGAAGTCACCCACCAAATAGAAACAAACTGGCTAAAGCATTTGCCCAAGTATTCTCATTTCATAGTGCCGAGGTGGAAATGCTTAAAACATTATTTTGCACAGAGATGATCAACCAGTCAGAAACTCAGAGGGGATATAAGGGCGAAAAAACTCGAGTAGTAAGCCAAACAAACCTGACCTGAATCAAGAAGATAACCAGCATTAAGTTATACAAAAGGCATCAAGTTTTTCCAAGTCAAAAAGCCTGTACATATTTAAGAGCAGAGCTTCTCGAACAACTGCTCAGTGACTTAACATGTTACTCTATGAACCTCCCCAATCACGCCGAAACTGAACAAGATTAACAGCAACCAAATACCACGTTCAGGAGTACCAACATGACTCGCAGTAAAGAAAATAGCTGAAATTACTTTCTCAAACAGCAATTTAGAAGATGGAGCATTTACTCAGAGCAACTGGCGCAGCTGCTGTGTTTCCTTCCGGAGAAATTGAAGCTCTTTCATAATCTCAGCCTGGTTTTTCAATATTGATTTCATGACCTCAGACATTTCCATCTGCAAAATACTTCCGACTATTAGAGTACTCACGAGTACGTCACACACATAGGACCAGAGATGAAGTGTATCAGTATACCTCCTGCATATGAAATTGCCTTATAATTTCAATGTGAAGGTTTCGCATGTCATCATGAATAGATTTCTGAAAAGTAGCAAGAGTTTCCTCCAGTGTCCGCTGAAAAAGCTGGAGGGTAAAAGAACTTCCCTGCTGTGCTTCATGCTGCAAGGCGCTTTTCGGTAAATGTGTCACTCCATCACCCTACATACAAATTTACGGATATTTGAATAAAAGTGTGTACAGCTCAAAATCTAGAACGATATGACCATCTTTGCAAGCATGGAAGAGAGAGAGAGAGAGAGAGAGAGAGAGAGAGAGAGATCAAAATCTAGAAAATCATTGATTCATTTCACAGTTGCACCGAATATAGAAAGACTGCAAGATACAATTATTTCTTACATTGGTAGTTGTAAGGACGCTGGTTCCCGTGGCAGATGTCATCTCAGACCTTGACAACAAGCTATTGAGAAGCTCTTCCCTGGTTTCCACTCCTGTTTTCTTAGATTTGGGCGACACCGATGCATCAGTGAAGGATGGTGTTGCGCCTATTCTCTCTGCATAACTGGAGAATCGCCTGGGGAGAGACAAAGCAGGTCCCAAACTGTCAAACTTGGCCTGTGTTGTAATACTCTTTGAGCTTAAAGGCGAGGAAACGGCTTCTGATGATCTAAATAAAGTTTCATGATTCGGGGGTTCTCTGATGCGCAGATTGGCCAGGCTCAGGCCAGATGATAAACTGCTTGTGCTTTGATTCGTGGGGAGACTATCTTGTAATCCAGACAACTTTACTACCGATGATGAATTCGTAGCTGCTAATGTTGCAAAACGGGATGGCATGTTAGTGGCTGGCCGGTGGTGACTCAGCTTGTCAGATATTCTCTCGCCACCCCATGCTTCGGGAGGAGTTATGGATGAAGAATCATCAACATGTGTAGATACAAGGGGAGATGTCAACTGCGACAAGGTAGAACTGGCGTCATCCTGCAAGGGCTCCAACACCGTCAAAATTATTTCATGCAAGATGGAGAGGTCCAAAATAGCCACAAAGAAGCTGCATGATTGATTTTAATGAACGACAACCACATAGAATATGTGTGTACTCTTAGTGTGCTGATTAGATTGTGTCTACATTTATGTCGAGTTTTGGATCACAAAATTAAAGACACAGCATGTCAGATGAAAATAGAATCATAGAGCTAGGGCAAAAAGTACCTGCTTGGTTGATAAGTTCGTTTTCCAGTCCAAAATTGGATGATTATCAATGGAACCTTCCTCTGGAAGGCCAAACCTCCGAGAAAATAGGAAAGATGTTTTTCTATCCAGGTCTTTCTTTCCACCATCCAGGTCATTCCACAACTTGTCGAGAGAGGGTGTCATTGGTTGGACTTCCACAAGGGGAGAAAACACCTCCATATCATCCTTGAATTTATAACTTCGAGGTGCATGCAGCCTTGCAAGATTTCCGCCTGTCAGTAAGCTGCTGCGAAGAGGTGTTTCCTCTGAAGTAGGTAAACTTAGACCACTTGATGCAGATCCTGCAGGAAACGAATATAAATCTCCAGGGGTACCTGAACGGCTAGAATTTCGAGAACCAGACACAATTGAGGGCATTGAAAGGCTTGATGATCCCCTAGAAGGAAGTGGATCAGGCATAAGGATGGAATCCCCAACATCACCGGCCAAAAGAACAGTTTCGTCTGTGCAGTTATTTTCATTAAACATTACAGGTTTTGACCTCTGCCAGCAAAGATTTGTGACAGCCTGATACAGATGGAATCAATTTTAATGACTATAAAGTATTTGCTTAGATAAAAGGACAACAGAAATTAGTCTTTTACGTAACAAATATGGTCAGCTAATTCTGATATGCATCTCTTTCCTTGTAGCTTTCAAATTACTAACCATTTAGGAAGTAAAACAACACGCACTGGGTTTTCTTAATAATTATCAATACACAAACGTAACAAGATCACAGGATGCAGTAATATTGCAAATACTTTCTGAATCAATCATAAGAACAGATCACAATAGACACAACAAATCTTGAAATAATTATCAATACACAAACGTAACAAGTTCACAGGATGCAGTAATATTGCAAATACATTCTGAATCAATCATAAGAACAGATCACCATAGACACAACAAATCTTGAATTGCGGAAGGTTCCAGTACTACTTAAAATATGACATCTACCTCAGCGCTCCCATATGCACGAAGAACAGTGATTGGCTGTGGTTTCCCACGGACATCATAGAACACAACCTGTCCAGTGCTTGTACCAGCTGCCAAGGTTAATCCATCATCAGCGAATGCCAATGAAGAAAACGGCGCTTCGTAAGGCATACAAGAAGATGGTTTCCGAGACCCAGTGTCAAAAGTGTATAATTTCATATCCAGACCGACACTAGCTATTACCTGTCAAACCAAAAAGAAAAAGGTACTAACGGGATGTAACTACAGAAAAACGTCACCTTCTTGATTATAAGGCTTAAGAAGACGCATATAAAATCCAAGCCAAAACGATAAACTAGAGACCTTATCATTGGATGGTGAAAAACTGACAGCAGAGGTGGGTGCCGAATGCTGTTTCAACCAGGAAGCCTGTAAAGCGAAAGGATTTTCTGTTATATACTATTATTAACAGCCTCGGAAAGAATGAAGAATGAGAAAACTGAAACCTCGCTCAGCTGAGTTAACTGAAATAAGCAGATCAACGGTGCATATTCAAAGATCCAATCACGATATCTAAACAAATTAAGATTGTGGAGTTGGAAACAAACCGAAGTAACAAAACGTGGCTATATGTTGAAAAAATCAGACGCAGAATCAGGTCATCGTAATAGTTAATTGGCAACATATAGTGCAGTCAAAATAAGAAGAACAAAATAACTTGTCAGTCAAAAAAATATCATAATGTAATTTTGTGGTATTTTTTCTTACATAAATATCTTAAATCATGCTTACCCATGGATACCAATTTTGTGCTCTGCCTATGACCCAAAAAAGCTTTAACGTATTTATTCCAACTTGATGGAAAAACAGAAATACATTCAAGATATCTAAAGAGAAAAGGCAACTTAATATAAGGGAGAGATGCCCAAAAGAGGCGGTTTATTTCTTCATATGATCGGAAAGTTTTGAGGCTAAGTAAAAAAAGTGATGAGGCTCTGCAACTATACAGAGATGGCCCAAAAGTTATTAAGAGTACAAAAAATATCCCCAGCATCCCAGTACAATGGAGCGTATTCATCATTCAAGAATATGGAGGTCCAAAGAGAAAGGAGCATGCAATAAAAGGAGTTCCAATTTATGTTTGATGCGCAAAAAAAAAGCACTGGACAACACGGAACTACAAGAAAATGGTTAATTGACCCATTGAGATTATACAACTGAAATATGACTCACTGCTAAATTGCCAGTAAATAAGAACAACGGCTACTAGGTCTCATTGTAGGTTGAATTGTGTTGTTTTTAAGTTTCACTCTTAAAATGGCCAGAAATATCTTCAAATATTTAATGGAGAGTTCTATCACCAACTCTTCAGGCCAAATGATTTTGTCATTATGCGTTGGTTGGATATCTACAGTGTGGTCATGTAAAGAAACAAGAACAACTCCGGGTTCATTTGTCATTTTCTTGAAAATCAACCAAGTGTTACCGATCAACAGAAAATGTCAGGATATATCTGTTAATAAACTAACAAGGCAAAATGTTTAAGTGCTATTAAGTAGGAGAGCAGAAAACCCATTAGCGGTTCTCATTGTTATTAATGCTTACCTTTGGGCTCCGGCCAGTTGTGTCCCACAAATGAATGGATCCATCGTCACCAGCTGTCACTAAAAGGTGCCTGCTTGTCCTAGAATAATCAAGTGCACCCAAAACCTGGTCTTGTAATTTTAGGAGAATAGAAGTACAAGATCACATACATCAGAATCAGATATAATTCTAATGGCAATGCAGCAAGACTAGTGGCGGAAAAAACATAATTAACCTGTCCATTAGGATCTCTTAGTTCAGCAGCTCTTGCGCCAGAAGCAAGGTTGTGAAGTATAAGATCTCCTTTGCGACTGACAGAAGCTATATGTTCATCTTTGCAATTGTACATCACACCTGTAATAGTATCACTATGACCTTTCAACCATTTGACACAACGCTTGTTCTGCAAATCCCATATTCTTACAACTTGACCAGTTCCACCAGAGCATAGATATCGGGATCCCTTATTGCTGAAGCTGATAGTTGATATTGACTCGGAAGGCTTAAAAGATTAAGAAATATGAGAGGAGAAAAAAATTAATTAATGTTTCAAGTCAAATCGAGGACTACAGTCACATATCAGGTCGAATAAACAAGTAGTGATACATTAGAACATCCACTTATCAAGCAAATGGCACTCCAATAGTACAGCTGTAATTAAAATTTTAAAAACCATCTCGGGTTATGGTTGTATGTGCACACCAACTACCTTCGACTCCACTTACAACTAATCTCTAAATTGGATCGGTTTTCACTTATCATCAGAATTTCTGGTAACAACAATGCTAAATTTCGTACAGCTGATACAATATTGCATCACATCTTCTTCTAAGATAACCGACACCTTAGCCATGTTAATAACTGAAACCGAAGGCAAGCATAATTAGGAACAGTAACTGGAAATGCACACCCCCTCATCCAAAACGAATAGACTCAAACTTCTTAATCCCCAAATTCCAGAAAACAAGAACACTGATGCTAAAGTAGATAAATGTACCTCAACAATTTCGCCCCTAGCATTTTTGGCTGGCACCATCCACAAGCTTTGCCCATTTTTCCTCCATAGCGATATTTTACCATCTTCGCCCGCACTGGCCAAAACTAAATCTGGCAAAGGCAGATTTTACGATGAAATTACCCAACGGGATCACTAAAGTAGAAGCGGAAAAATAAAATCAACGTGAAAGAAGAGAACACAAAGAAAAATTTCTCAAGTGAAAATGCACGAACTGTTGTGATTCCACTTGACGGAATTCACGCGTAAGCCTGGAGACGGAGAGTAGGTGAGAACGCAGGGGTTCTGAGGCTCCGACGAAGTGTCGAACAGCTTCACCGTATCGCCGCCGCACGCCGCCAGCAGCATTTTCGCTGAATCGAACGAATTCATGAGTAGATCACAGTGTACTGAAGGGGGATTTTTGGGGTTTCGAAAAAATGTAGAGTGAGGTGAGTGTAAATGATGATGGTTTCTGCTTTTCGTGTGTGGAGAGAGGGGAGAGGAAATTCAAATTGGGCCACAACCAAGGCGCCCTTTAACCTTTTTTTTTTTTTTTTTTCCAACAACAAACAAGCAATATATTAAAACTCAAATGATAAGTTCATACATCGATTACCCAAATGGATACAAGCAATGCAGCACCCCCATACAAATGAGATTACTACAAGCTACGAGAAACCCAACTTAGGCTCTCTGAAAGGCTTCTATAGCCAAAGACAAAGAAAAAGAACATGCAAACTTATCACAAAAGAAATTACAACTATCCAATCTCTCAGGCATTAGATTAATATCAGTTACAAGGACTCTTACTCCCCAATCTGCCTCAGTCTGCTTGTTAATAAGCTGGGCAATAGACACTGAATCCACCCTGCAGCATAGTGAAGTAGTTGTCCCTGTTTGTTGAATTTTATGTAGCATCCATCTAACAGCCCTAAGAGTAGCTTCCTCAGAAGATTGAGCTTTCTCACAGCAGTCATTCCACTTGAACAGGATTTGCCCATCCCTTTCCCCCACAGCACCAAACCCCACAAAACCATTTGGAAACAAGCAAGCACTGACAGAAATCAAACTCTGTCCTACTCCACTTCCATTAGCTTGTGGAGCCTTAAGTTCAGCTGCCAAACTGTTGCCTTTATCAATGCTAATACCATTTTTTGAAGATGCTAGCTCAAATTCAGTCCATTCCCTCCAAGCACCATCCACTATGTCTCTTTCAGTAACTTTTGATTTAGAAAACAGCCAAGAATTTCTAGTCCTCCACAACCACCACAGCAGGTAGGTTGAGAGGCTTATTCTGTCTTGCATATAATTATCTGCTGAACCAGAACACAAATCATACCACCAATCTTGAAAAGATATTCTGTCCATATCAAAATGAATCCAATGTAACCCACACAGTTTCCAACAGTTCACAGCTCTTTGACATTTGAATAAAATATGCTCCAAGTCTTCATTTTCTTCTCCACAGATACAACATATACTGTCCACATTCACCCTTTTTTTCAGCAACTGTGCATTAGTGTTTAGAAATCCATACCAGCATCTCCAAAGGAAGTTTTTAACTTTAGGTTTCACCTTGAGCTTCCATGTTCTGGCCCACATTTTCTGCATTTTTTTGTCATCTGATGAGGAAGGTGCAACCATCTGGTTGTTGTGATGATGCTGAAGCAGGATCTTGTATACTTCCTTCACAACAAACATTCCTTTAGGATTCCAATGCCACACCAGCCTGTCATGGGCACCTGCACTACTAATGGGGATAGAAAGAATATGTGCAGCCTCCTCAGGAGAGAAAGTTTGTTGAACCAGCTCCACATCCCATTCACATTTGCTATGCACAAATAAGTCACTCACTTTTTTTATTCTCACTCTGTCTGTGGGAAAATGAAGGGTAGGGGAAAAATGATTTGGATGAGGAATCCAAGGGGAGTCCCACACATCAATGGAGCCTCTATTACCAACCTGATATCTAATTCCCAACTTCAAAGAAGGTCTGGCTTGAAGCCAGCTCTTCCAAAGCCAGGAATCTCCCCCCTTAGGCTTCACATCAAAGATTTTCTGATTATAGAAATATTTGCCCTTAAGGACCCTACTCACCAAAAGATTGGGTTTAGTAATGATTTTCCATAACTGTTTAGTTATAAGAGTGTCATTAAAAACCTGAAAATTTCTAAATCCCATCCCTCCCCTATCCTTAGGCTTAGATAACAAATCCCACCCACACCAATGGGCCCTATTGCCCCCAGTCTCAGAAGTTCCCCACCAGAAATTAGATATCACCCTACAAAGATGTTGATAAACAGATATAGGGAGTCTAAAGCATGACATGACATAAGTAGGCAGGGCTTCTAAAATAGATCTCACAAGAGTTTCCCTCCCAGCCTCACTTAGAAAACAGTTTTTCCTTGGTCAAGTTCTCGTATCTCCTTGCTTAACCAATCTAGCACTGATATTTATCGAAAATTTTAAATCGTCAATTAAAGAATCAAATGTTAGAGGAGAAAAATGAAAAATCGTTCACTAAGAAAAATTGTAGAGAAGATTGTTGTTAAAAATATGGGAAATGTTGCGGTCCCGTTACGAGATCATTCCGTCGGGTTTGCAACCGTTAGATCATCATATAATTGTCGAAAATAGTTAATTTAACGGTTACAAATTCTGACGGACTGATTTCGTAACGAGACCGTAACATCTTCCTAAAAATATTGCAGATGAAATGATAAATTGTAGATGAAATGTTAAAAATCGTTCAATTAGAACTCATAGAGACTTTTTAAGACTTTTTTAAATTTACCACATTTGTGGACTTTATGTAATTTTTAATGACTTTTGTGGATTTTGTAAGATTGTTATAGAGACTTTTTAAAACATTCAATATGAACTTTTTGAGACTTTCTAATAGTTTTATATAATTTTTAAATAATAATTAAATTTATATGAAATGATTAAAAAAAAATTATGTGCACAATAACTAATATGAATAAAGTCAAATTAGTAATCAAAAAATTAAAATATTTATTTTGCAATATGTTATAATACTAAACACCGTCTATTGAGCTAGAATGAAGACAAGTGAAAAAAAATATTATCACAAACAAACTCGATAAGAAGAAAAGCATGATAAATATTCAACAATCAGAACATTTTCTTCTATTTGTCTCATTTTCTTCTATTTTTACTTTGTTCGATTAAATGTATGTTTTGTCATTTTTCCAAATACTGATACATACATTTTCCCAAAATAAAGTAGATGCATGTTCTTTCTGAATTGAACATGTGAGCATGCCCAAAAATTGTCTAGAATTGAACATGTGAGCATGCCCCAAAATTGTCTAGTATTATGTAAGATAGGTCTCTTATGCTTATTTAAATTAATTTCTACATGGAAGAAAAAAAAAATCTTTGGAGAATTTGAACCATGGAAGCAATTTGCAGACTATGTGAAGAGAGAAAAGAGTATCCACTAATCATGCATATTACAATTGATTTTTTCAAACGATAAAATTAATTTCGTGGACGCAAAGCAAACACTAATCATACATATCAACATACAAGTCTTAGATTAGTGTTAAGCCAATTAGCACTACAAAATATCAGCTATAAAATTTGAATCAAGCAACAACTCAAGAATCGATCAATCAACAAGATGTAAAATTTGATTTTTTTGTTGGAAAACCCTAGAAAGAGAAGAGAAGAGTATGAGAGTAACTGGTCAGAGAGAGAGAGAGAGAGAGGAAGCCTAGAGAGAAAAGAGCGTGAGAGTAAGAGAGAGAGAGAGACAGAAGAGTTTAAAGAGAAAAGAGTATGAGAGTACAAGAGAGAGATGGAAGAGTCTTCACGTAAAATCTCACAAATTTGGTGAGATTTTCACAAGTATTTTT